ATAACACCAGAAAATCTGCCAACTCCTTAAGTCCAAAAATGACCCGTTAAGCATCTGAAACAAGACCGAGGCCCCCGGGACCTCAACCAAACATACCAACCAATCCTAAAATACCATAAAACTTAGTTGAACCTTCGAATCACTCAAAACAACATCAAAACACCAAATTACTCCCGGATTCAAGCCTAAGAACTTCTAAACTTCCGAATTCCACCAACGATGCCGAAACCTACCAAATCACGTCCGAATGACCTCAAATTTTGTACACATGTTTGAAATGACATCATAAACCTACTCCAACTTTCGGAAATCCAATCCGACCCCGATATCAAAATTTTCATTGCCGGCCAAAATTACCAAAATTCTAGCTTTCGCCAATTCAAGCCTAATTCTACCACGGATCTCCAAGTCACATTCCGAACGCGCTTCTAAGTCCAAAATCGCCTAACAGAGCTAACAGAACCATCAAAATTCAAATCTGAGTTCGTTTACACATAAGTCAATGTCCGGTTAACTTTTCCAACTTAAGTTTTTACTTTAGAGACTAAGTATCTCAATCCACTCCGAAACCACCCCGGACCCAAACCAACTAACCCGATATATCAAAATATAGCTGAAAAGCATAAAAGGAAGCAGAAATGGGGAAAACATGGCTATAACTCTCGAAACGACCGGTCGGGTTATTATAGGTACAAAGTATCATCTCCTGCTACCCGATTACTATGTTAAAGTTGTTACTTAAGGCCGCTCTAATTCAATTCTAGGTCGTATCCTATGCGTTCACTACTCGTCCCATGCTTATGGTCCAGGAGTCTTTGGACCTACTATTGGGTGGTTCTAGACTTTACTTAGGATGCTCAAAATGATAAAACTAGGCGTGCATTCAAAACATATAGGACTTCACATAAAGGCAACAAATGGCTCCAGTTCGCCTCCACACATAAACAAAGAATGCACGCGGAAGATTAGGCAATAACAAATTTCAGAGTTGAGAAGCGTTATAGTCATCAAATACTATAAGCGTGATTTCTAGGTAATTCTGATTCCCAGTAGTGTGTAGTAGCGTTACAACTTTTAGGCTAATAGATTTACAGATTATAAACATTACAAACCCTATCTATAGGCATAATATCTAATTGGAATGCAATGGACGGTAAAACAACTCTAAGAGCCTAGAAGCGTTGATTTCGTAAACGGTTTCTTATGCGGGTGAAAATATCCTATAGGCAGGATTTTTAACAATTGAAAATTAGACTTGATTTTATAATACTTTATCCCTATAGGCATGTCATCTAAGTGAAAAAGTAGCAGAAAGCAACTGATTAATTATTTAAAACCCTGTTGTCAAGGTATCTAGATGAGTATTATCAAAGGCGTGCATTATTATATCCTATAGGCATGCTGTCTAATAATTAGACAAGTAGTTATTGACGTTTGATTCCTATAAACATGTTGTCTAATAGCGCACAACAGTAGGCATGGAAACGGGTACAACAATCACTCAAACCAACATACTTTGAATAGTGTATAGGTACTTAGACAAATTAAGTGAAGTATGTGCGATTCCTATAGACATGATTTCTATTAATGTGTAGAATCAAAGCACATCAAAGCAAATATCAAATAAGGTAATTAAACCTTATAGGCATGCTTTCTACCCGTTCATGCAAGCATTGGAATACTCTAACCCCCATTTTTTACTAATTTCCCCATCATTCATTGTTACAGACTATTACAGGCCAAAATAGAATAAATACATGCCTAAACACAAAATGTGAAATAACCCAGCGATGCATCTGGGTCTTCAAATAGGCTTTAAAGCTCGGACATGACCATATCCCAGGCACAGATAGTGTGCTCAAAACCACATAACCAAGAATCAGATCAAGGCCCAACAACAAAATAATTCTCTTGCCCATCCATTACCAGTTAAAAATAATGAAGACATGGATGGCAACTCATGCAAACCAAAATCATTTAAGGTAACTCGAATGCTAAGGAAGGGCATACACACATTTGGACCCTAATATTACACCTAGCAGGAGCAAGAAAATACCTGAAGGACAAGGCACACATTTGAATATCACATAAACACACATAAGATGTAGGGGATGTGTAGAATACATAAAGTTAACATATACAGGGGCTTTCAGATTAGCAAACAAGTTCAAAGTAACAGGCTTCTTGCACTACACATGATTTGATTGCAGGAATCTGGCATACAAAAATCTATAAGGCAAAAGAACTAAGCATGAGAGTTCCAAGCAGGCAAGGTTATGCATTAATTCCAGGAAGGTTAACAAGTAGCAATGACATGTTCGAGAGGGAGGGACCAACAATAATCTTCACAAGAAGATCTCAACATAAGAATGCAGGGCAAAACATAACTAAGCATTGTAGGTCAGTTCATGGTAAGAAGGGGTATTAATAAGGAAAGCTTATTAAGAAAATTAAAGGTCAATAGTATCACAAACTCAGCACAACAACTAATTAGCAAGAAAGTGTCTAATTCTAAGAATGAAAGCTTATCATATAGCAAGTTCCATTATACATACCAAAGATAACACTAGGCATTAAACTGAGAAAATCTAGCACTAGCAGGCATGGCCTATAGAACAGTATTGTGGCAACAAAATTATAGTAAAACATGCAACTATAGTACAATGTTGAGGTTCACAAGTAGCATAGAAATATGCAGTCTGAAAAGTTCAGAATTCACATAGGCATGATCATTTTAAGAAATTGAGAAAGTAGAAAGTTATGCATAAATGACTTAGCATGAAGATCTTAGGCAAGATATGGTCAAAATTGATCCTATAACCAAACAAGAATCCCTATAAGGAAGAGTAGCATGAACTTTAAGGCAGACAAGTTACGATAACAAAAGCACTTTCCACAGGTCAGGATTCAACATGAAATTCTAGGGTAGGCATGGTTAAGGGCTAGTCCAGATAACTAGTAAGTAGTAATTCACGTATAAATCTAGAGAAAGATTTTCAACATAGATATTCAAGGCAAGACACATCTATGAACTCAATGCTAGGGTCCTGACAATCATAAATACCCACAGAAAAGGCTTATCACAAAAACGCATAGCCAATAGGATCATAAGCACAATAAAGCAGATAAATACCTAGTTCTAAGAAAGTTAGAACATATTCGAGCTAGTCACATAAGAATAACTATGTGTGTCAACTTTGCCTTAATGGTTTTAGACTTAAGCAGACCTTAATACTAGTAAATATGGATTCGCAGAACAACATTAAGATAGGGAAATTGTAGTGAGGCATAATAATACAAAAATTCACGAATAGCAAGGAAACTGAGTTATGCTTACCCATAAATGTTCAGCCAATATTGGTATACAAAACACACATGACATAGTGAAGGAAAAATGTAAGAGTCAAGAACACTAACCAGTTGCATATTAACGAGAATGTAAAGAAAAAATCAAGTGCCAAGAGTAGTTCAGACAACAGTAGTAGAGAAAGAACAGTAGGACTCCCAAAATCTCAGTGCGTCAAAGTTCCCAAGGGTTTCAAGTGAACCTCAAGCAGTACTCACACTGAGAAAGAGCAACAATCGAACTCCGGTGGCCTTGGATTTCAATCGGCCAAGGTCTCAAGTTTCAGAACAATAGAATAAGTGAGAGTGAGAGAATAATAACAATGATTAAGGTCCATCTAGGGGAATAAGGGGAAGGGGTTTATATAGTGTTAATTACAGGTAAACAAAAATGAAAAGAAACCCAATTATGTAGAATAAGAAAAGAAAATCAGTCATACAGAATAAAGAAAAGACCACATGCAAACCGATTTCAAATCGGATTAGGGAAACGAGTAAGGAAAACCCTAATCAAGCCGGAATCAATGGAGATGTGCCCAATCAGAGAGATACTCCTTGTCCTTTGATGCACCTAAACGGAATCCCGCAAGATCTTCAAGATCGAGCCTGTTTGGACATGATTTATACGAAATACACCTTCCATAGATGGAACAACACTTAGTATTACCATATCAGAGTGGTAAGCATTCAGAAAAGGTAAGAAGATATCTGGTTCCCTGGAAAATGCAGGGAAAAGGGCGAGAAAATTCTGGTCGCTAGGTTTTAGGTTTGAGAGACGAAAAGGGAGTGTTTGAGGGCGACTGCGGGGTTGAGAATGGGCTAGGGTTTAGGTTGAGGAGATATAAGGAGGAATGGGGAAGTGTTGTGAGCCGTTGATCATTTTTTATCAACGGTTGAGATTTAAATAAATTGGGTCGGGTGTAACGGGTCGTGAATTGGGGCGGATCTATTGGTCATTTGGTTTTAGGCTTCTGGGGGTCGATCAGGAATGGTCTCATTTGTTTGGACCTTAATTGGTCCGAAGATTAGACATCACTTGGGCCATATTTTAAAATAATGAAATTAAGAGAAATAAATTAATAAAATAGCTAAATAAGTATAAATTATTATTTAAACAAATAATTATATACAAATAATAGTTGAAGGTTGTAAACATATAAAAAGTTATTTTGACCCTAAATAAAAATAATAAAATATAATTAGTTGTAAAATATAGACTATTATTGCCAAAAATGTAAATAGCTCAAAAATACAAATATAATTATATGAAATAAAATAAAAAATTTATAAACATATATGTGGGTATAAATAATAAATTTAGATGATTAGGTCATCATAAATAATTTGAAAGGGTAATTTATAAATATTTGAATAATTTAAATGCAAGAAAAATCAATTTTAAGGCCTTAAAAATATGAAAGAAATACAGAAAATACTTATATAACCCCAATAAATTAGACAATAGTGCAAAATAATATTTTGAAAGTATATACAATAACAACAATATACCCATTATTATTTTACACTTTGAAAGTATATATAATATTTATAAAAATATGAAGAAAAAATTGGGTATCAACGGCGGTAAATGGATTTGAAATAAACGTTCTTAAAATAGGAAGAAAGTGTTCAGTCTTTTAACTTTATGACTCAAAGCGGTATTTACACAATGAAAACTCTTTTACGTTCTCTCTCCCTCATCGGGAGAAGGAACTTTAGGGCATACTAAAAGCCCTAGCTCAACATGTAAGTTCGTCGGCGGCGATACTCCGATGCAAAAAAGTTTTGCCGGTCGGCGGCGGCGATGTTCTCTCGCGAGATTTCTCGAGGTTCGTAAACTATGCGAAATCTTCCTCGTCCCTCTTGTATCTCACGGGGATAGGCATATTATGTCCTACTCTAATTTTTTATTCTGATATTAACGTTTTTATAAAATTCAGGTCATGAAATATCTGAATCATTTATGAATATGAACACTTAAAGTATATCCTACGTGGTCTTTTGTGTTTCTTCTCTTTGTATTCAAATAAATCTTGAGCCAAATCTGAATGATCATTCTTTCTTTAGTTTCAATTTCAGCATAGTAGTGCTCTGGTGCCTGTATTGCAACGGTTAAATTCTAGGTTACCAAGAAATTTTCTAGGTTTAGACTTTAAATGTCTATCTATGTATTTGAAATTCTAATAAATTGACTGAGAAGGGAAGTGTTGAGGATAATTTAGAGGAATTTAAAACACTTAGAGCTCAAGTGTTGGTTAGAAATCTTGCTTTGAATGAAGCTTATTTCTTATCTAGTTTCATAAGAGGGCTTTAGGAGGAACTCAAGTTGTCCGTAAAACTGTTTTGCCCTTGTACATTAGGTCATGCTGTAGAACAAGCTAGAATTCAAGTAAAGGCAATTGTGTCTATTCTTAAGAATAGGAGAATGATGATAAAAACTGTAGGATCATACAATCAATATGGTTCCTTGCAATTTACTTCCAAGGTGATAGAAGCATCTAAACCTATTAAGTACTTAGCAAGGATTATTTTTGGATGAAGAGGAAGAACCATACTACAATGATAAAAAATGAAAGGCTACTCTAGAACTAGAATTTCCTGCTACTGAAATCATGGAAAATAAGGGGCAGAAAGATAAAGGTCCTCAGAGAGATGAAACTGGTCTGAAAACTGCAGACATCTCAAATGTGGATACTGCTCCAGGGAATATAACACAAGTAGTGCCGCGAAACTTATTGCAAATGCAAGTGCCAAACAACCTCCTAGAAGGAGCTATTGTTGCCTTCTTTGATTGTACTTTGGGTTATAGCCCAATGCAAAGTAAGCTCAAGAGTTTTTGATTTTGATTTGCATAATAAAAATGCAAAAATTTCGGAGGAACAAAAGGAATATGGCATTAAGGCCGGAGATGGAGAACTGTGGCCAAAAAGAATTATTTCTAATGGATCAAGGGCGGTGTCCTGTTCTTTGAGTTATTTCAAAATTAGAATGAGGAACTGTCGACACGCGAGACTTGAAACCGCTGGGAAGCTTATTAACTGTAACTAGTTACCTTTAAGTAGTGAAGTTTTAATATTAATTGGACAGAAGAAAGATATTGAGGCTTCCCGTAAAAAAATGGGAATTGAAGATGTTATGGAAGCTCTTTTGAGAAATTGTTTTAATACATTGTATGGGTAGTTGAATGCTTGGAGTTTCTGACAATTCCAAACACTTGCCATCATGCAAATTCTGTTTAGGGGTGGCAAACAGGTGGGTAGGGTCGGATATGGGATGGGTCGAAAACGGGTAATGAAAAAAAGGATAAATTATCCGACCCAACCCATATTTAATACGGATAAAAAACGGGTTAACCGGCGGATTATATGGGTAGCCATATCATTCTTACCCATATTATCCATGGCTTCATAAATATGATCACTTTTGGGAGAATTCACAGTATCCCAAACTTGAGGAACCCCGAATTTGAGATTTTACAAATGTAAAAGGTAAACCCATTCGTTATCCATGGGTTATCCATTTTCTAAATGGATAATATGGTTCTTATCCATATTTGACCCGTTTTTAAAAAGTTCATTATCCAACCCATTTTTAATGGATAATATGGGTGGTTAACTGTTTTCTTTTAACCATTTTGACACCCCTAAATTTCTGGTTGATGTATTCGTTTGCTCAAACGAAAACATTTATTTGCATTCCACATGGATTTGCAAATGCCAAAGCCGTGTCATTCCTTTCATTCTGAAGAAAATGATGCCGCTATTGAGGTACCTATTGAATCACTGATGTTTATTGAGGGTTTATCCTAATTTCTGGGATATAGCATTGTGTTGCCTTCTGAAGAAAATGACACCACTACTGCACACTGCTAACTCTCTGGTCGCTCAAGTCTATGACTGCGCGATTGAGAGCTTATCGGGTTCATAACGCAATTCAGATCCGCAAAAATTAGTTCAAGAGACAAAGAAGGTAAAGGGTAGAGTACACTTCAGAAACATGTAATCGCTCCCAAATTAGCACAGCTTTCAGTCTTATCGTTGAGTGTGGGCGTATTCTACCTATGCAGTAAACAATAATTTAAAGCAAATAAGGAAAAATAACAACTACTATTTGAATTCTCTAAAATATTTAAAGATTATACATGCATTTGCTATCAGTTTTAACGCATTTTATTTTGATTAAGGTACTGCAATTTATTTATGGCTGCTTAGCTAGACCTAAGAGGAACCCTTTTGACGAGCCTAACTTTCAGACTATCTTTCATTTGAAAGATAATAGAAGCACTTGGAGAAACTGTTTGTGGTTCCACTAGTTGGATGTGATAATTGTATATGATGGTGGCTGTCACTATTTTTGTTTGAATCAATGTCATTTCCTTCCCTAAGCAAGTCCTTGGACTTGCATTAAATGCCGAGAATTTGAAAGTGGCTCATGTTTAATCATTCCTCGCTCCGAAATCCATCTTTTGGCTTGAATTCTAAGCAATCTTTTCCCCATATAGTTCCCATTCTCCCCATTACTTAGAACGATAGCACCATTCTCGGACTTGGAATAACACTGTGACCGCTAGGAAGAATGTCAAGTTGAAGATGGCACTTCGTGATTGAAAGGCACTTGTGGAAATAGCCGAAGAGTTTCGCGCAAAGCACCTTGTAGATAGGTCAGTTTACGTGTTTCTTCTATGTTGAAAAACCTGAGGTTTTCATCTTCTTTTAAAAGCAATAGTTGTTGAATCTCTTCCCTGATCCTTGTCTCTACTAAGGGATTTTTAGCTAAGAGCAAGAAAAATCAAGTGAGAGCTGCACTTGAGATGTCTCTCCCAGCAAACATCAAATTCAAGAAAATCACTTAGAAATTCTTTTACATTGCCCGAAACTCCAATATTCTTCCATAGGTTGTATGCTTTTACATAGACAGTTAATATGCGGAAGTACTCATCTTTGATTGTTTTGTTCATCAACTCCTCTGGCTTACGTGAAATGCAAGGATATAGAAATTGATCAAGAGTTTTTGATGCTTGAATGAACTCCTCCTCTTTACCAATGTGAAGCCTTTTTTGCAATTTCTAACAATCTTGTGGTAAGATATGTCCGTAAAAAATTGCATCCACAATGTCGTCGAATGGCTTTTCGCATGGCACGTGATGTAAACCAACATTGGATTAAACGTTTTGGATCATGATCAAATAACAGTTTGCTAATAGCATCTTCCTCTATAAATCAGTTCAAGCATGGGAAAAAAATAAATTCAAGGTATGAAAACTGAAAATTAAGGACCGTTGTTTGTGGATTGAAAGTTAATTGAAACCATAAGGCGAATTGTACAGTCTTGTTGGAACGGAGCAGCAAAAAGCCTTATCGGTTTGTAAATTATAATGGTTAAACTGTCTGCAGAGCTGTTCTATCAACAAGTATATTATGAGTTGCTATGCTATTATTGTTATCTGTGACATTTTTTAATGTACACTGGGGAATGTTTTATACATTGAGCTATGCATGTTGATTAAAATTTGTTGTATAGTTAACTTTTTTCTTTAATAATGATAAGTAGAGAATAATTGCATCTCAGTTTACTATTCACTTCTCAATTCTCAAGGACTAGTTGTTTTAATTTTATTGTGGTAGGAAGAACGATAATATTATAGCATAAAAAGTTCAAGGATAATACATAATAGAAGAGACATCAATTAGGATACCAGGATTACCAAGTCTAGCTAAACTATTACATATACTAGCCGAAAAAACTTGTCCCTATTTTCTCCATTATTAAACATATTGCCCTAATGGTGGAGTAACATCTTTACGGTAGTTTTCGTGGAAAGTTTGATTTGGAAGTTTCACCCATGCGAGGAAGTAAAATTTCATTTTCAGGGGGCTTTGGGATGTTAATGTGCATTGTTAAATGATAGGAACTGTTGGTTGGCATTGAAGGTTACGGCAATCAAAAGCTGATGTAATTAGGCTGCAAGATGAATGGAGTATATGGATTTAGTTTGGAGAGACTAAAACCTTTCTGGTGTATATGTGTATATGCTCTTGTCGAAAGTTATGGTTTTAGATGAATCCGTGGCCAAAAGACTACATCAGCCCCTGTATATTATAATGGATCTATTTTGTTTTAGGATATGACAATAATATTATGATGTTGCTCAACAAGAGTGCTAAATATTGATATGTTGTTTTGAAGGGCTTATAGGACCAAAATTTATAGAATAACAAAGTTTCTGAGGGGGGAAGGGAACAAATCTTCAGAACTAATGGAACTAGAGGTATATCAATTTCTTTGCATTATGAATCACGCCCGTACAAATTGAAGATAATCAGAAAATTGGTTCAAACCAATTAAATATATACTATATTGATTATTTAGAGGAATTTGAAACACTTGGCTCATTTCTTGGTTAGAAATCCTGCTTTATGATGCTAATTTCTTATCTAGTTTCATTAAAGGGCTTAGGGAGGAAATCGAGCTGTCAATGAAACTCTTTAGACCTAGAACTAAAAAGATTATCTCTTATGGGTCAAGGGTGTTGTCCTGATCTGTTGAGTTATTTCAAAATTAGAATGAGGAGACTTGGGACCCCTGGGAAGCTTGTTAACTATAACCAGTTATCTTTGGGCACTGAAGTTTTTATATTAATTGGACAAAAGAAAGATATTGAGACTTCTTGTAAAAAAGTGGGAATTGAAGATGTTATGGAAGCTCTTATGAGAAATAGTTTCAATAATGACATTTTCTGGCAGTTGAATGCTTGGAGTTGCTGACAATTCCAAAAAATTATTTGATGTGTTCGACTGACACTACTATGAAGCATAACAAATAGCAGCAACCTCCGCATGAATGTGTGTACTAGTCTCCAGCTGTATGCTGTAAGACATAACCAAATCACCTTTATCTTTGTATTGGTGAAACAAAGACATGACATATGGAACATCAGTAAGCTGACAAGGCATGACGCGTGGAGCGTCTATATAGCGACAAGTGGCACTCTCAATTAATTGAATTAAGAATGCAAGGAAGGTACGAGAAAAATACCCACGGGGTAGCATAGAGAAAAGAACCGGGCCTGACAGTTGTCAAAAGAGAAACGGGAACGAAATGGATGAAGGCTGCAAAGAAGGGAAGATACATGAATCAGGAATAAATAAGGAAGGCGAATCAGAGCAATTATGAGGAATCTTTAGTCATAAATATGCCAGTTATGGTTATCTATGGTAACGGGCAATCAATACAATTAATGCCCTTAATAACTCCAAATTAAGTGTGAGAACCGTTATGATTATATGCTTCTATATAAGGATAAGAATTTCATTTGTAAATGGAGGTTACGATTATTACTGAAATACATACTATTATTCTTTGCTTACTCTACAAGTTTTAAGTCTTGGTTTTGAGTAGTGATTGTCAGTTCATTCTCTAATTTTTCTTTGTTAATCATTTTCATACTTCGATCTATTCTTCCTAAAATTGTTAGGAAAGTGAAGTAAATTTTGGTTATCAGTAATCTGTTTTCTTCTAAATATTGAGTTTGACCGAGAAATCTATTTTTGGTTAAACAAATTGGTTTCGTTACCGGGAATCTGATAATCTTTTCATTTTCCAAATTTCATTTTTTTGACAACCAGTTATGTCAACTACTAACGAGAATAACCATCTAAACCAACAAGGTGAAACTCCACCACACCACTTACCAACGTGGTCCCCTCGGCAATCCCGTGGAGGTTCACCTGAAAGGTCTACATCACGCGTTGATGATCAACAAGGGGACGAACAAACCGTAGAGCAAGACGCTCTAAAACAATTGATTGTGGAACACGTGAATAGTGCACTACAAGCTTTTGTCATAGGATTGCCCAATACGCCACAAACACCTTCACCGGTCAATACAACAACCTTAGAAAACCCGCGCTCAGGCTTGACAATTCTGGAACTGGAGAAATTCCTAACGAATCTCGTGATAGAGGGTTAGGTACACCAAATAATTCTAATTTATAAAATTTAGTACTAACTTTGCAAAACAATTGAAGGAGCAAAATGATCGCATAGAACAAATACCTGGCGTGGTTCCCGTGATCAAAGGGGTGAATATTGACAAGTATTCACAACAACCCTGGAAGCCAAGTGCAGCACCTTTACCAATTCCTAAAAAGTTTAAGATACCTGATATTCCAAAATATGATGGAACCACTGACCCTCGGGACCACGTGACTGCATTCACTACTGGCGTGAAAGGCAACGATTTAACTAAGCAAAAGATCGAATTGGTTCTGGTCAAAAAGTTTGGTGAAACACTCATGAAGGGAGCATTAACATCGTATTCTCTTTTATATGAAAATTCTATTGATTCTTTTCCTGAGCTTGCAGATTTATTTATAAAAGCACATTCGGGAGCTCAAAAAGTTGAAAAAGGATGGAAGACATCTTTAAGGTTAAGCAGGGGAGTACAAGATTGCTCAAAGATTTCGTAGATAGATTTCAGCAGGAGAGGGTGATGTTACCTCGAGTACCTGGTAATTGGGCAGCTATGGCATTCGCGAGCAATTTGAACAAGAAAAGTTCTGAAGCCACGAGAAGGCTGAAGGAAAGTTTGCGAGAATTTACAACAATGTGTACAACATGTACAGTATGAAGTTGCAGATAAAAGAGGATACAGTCGCACAACCAAGGGTCAATGAAAGATTAGGATTGAGACGGTCAGAATAAAAAAAAGGTCTGAAAAAAACAGGTATGAGCCATACATGGGACCTGTAGGTCGAGTCTCTCGATCTAAACAGGAAAACGCACGATTCGTCTCAAGACCAAGGCAAAAAGGTACGAGTTCTTCATCTAAGTTCAAAAAGGAACGAGATGCCCGAAACGATGATTCCAATAATCAAGCAAGGATATGGGATTATAGCTTTAATATCAGCACATCCGAGTTAGTAGCTGTTTTAAGAAGTATGGGGGATAAGGTGCAGTGGCCTAAAGAAATGAGATCAAATCCAATAAGAAGAAATCCAGATTTCTAGTGCGAGTTTCATAATGATCATGGCCATAGAATAGCAGATTGTAGACTTCTGGGAGAAGTCGAGCATTTATTGACTTGTTCAATGAGAAAGGAAGATAATCATATATGAAGAACAGACAGGAACCCCAGAAACCCCCAACAGTCAATGTAATAACTGGGGGAGATGAGGTCAATGATGTAACATATATGTCTGCAAAGTCAAAAGTCACGGTCACTGACGGGAAGCGAGTTCACCGGGTCTTGGATAATGACAGTATAATATTTTATGATGAATATGCGGACGACTTGATGATTCCTCACAGCGATGCACTAGTAATATCTTTACTTGTACACGATACTAACGTAAAACGAGTTTTTTGATTGATCCAAGTTGTTCAGCGAATATCATTTTACTGAGGGTGGTGAATGAAATGCAAGCTAATGACAAGGTGATACCAAAGGCACGGTCCTTGTCCGGGTTTGATAATTCCAGCGTTATCATAAAAGGGGAAGTTGTACTCACCACTTTCGCAGAAGGAGTTGTCAAGGATACAAAGTTTCAGGTGATAGACGCGGACATGGCCTATAATATAATTCTGGGAAGACCGTGGATTCACGATATGGATGTTGTCCTGTCCATATTGCATCAAGTTATCAAATTTCCTTCATAGTGGGGAATCCGTCAAATCCGTGGAGATCAGCAAGCTTCAAGAAGTATCAATTCAGTGGTAATTGCAAGCGCGGTAACCAATGATGCAGACACGAAATAATTCGGTTGAGGACGTTGTTACAAAGACCTAAACTGAAGGCATACCAGGACAAACTGATATTGATTCAAGACCCGATGTTATTCAACAGCCAGAGGAAAATGAAAATATTAAGACAACTACCGAAGAACTTGAAGTTATAGTGCTATTTACACATTGTCTAGACAAAAAAATTTACGTCGGAGCAAATTTAAGCCTATAAATGAAAGGTAAGTTAATTGAATTTTTACAAACTAATGCAAATTGCTTTGCTTGGTCGCATTCAGATATGACAGGTATACCACCGGAGATAATGACCCACAAACTAAATGAGGACCCATCATACCCATCTGTCAAGCAGAAGAAGATGAAGCAAGGATCTTTCAAAAATCAAGTAATCCAAGATGATATACAAAAGCTTTTAAAAATTGGGTCGATACGAGAGGTAAAGTACCCTAACTGGTTAGCTAATACCGTGGTAGTTCCCAGTAAGAATGGAAAATGACGAGTTTGTTTAGATTATACTGATCTAAATAAGGCTTGTCCTAAAGATTCATTTCCTTTGCCACATATAGATCAACTAATTGATTTTACCGCAGGACATAAGCTTTTGAATTTTTTAGATGCATATTCAGGATATAACAAAACAAAAATGAACCCTCTAGATGAAGAAAAAACTTCGTTTATCACAGACAGGGAGACTTATTGTTATAAAGTCATGCCATTTGCTTTAAAAAATGTTGGAGCCACGTATCAAAGATTGGTGACTAAAATGTTTCAAGAACATCTGGAAAAAACTATGGAAGTCTACATTGACGATATGCTAGTCAAGTCAGCACATGCGGTAGATCATTTTCAACAATTATCGGACACTTTCGAGATTCTCCGCAAATATAATATGAAGCTAAATCCAGAAAAAATGCGCTTTTGGTGTGGCTTCAGGTAAGTTTTTAGGTTTTCTCGTTTCTAACAGGGGTATTGAGGTGAATCATGCGCAAATCAAAGCTATCAAGGAAATACTAGATATACTCACGAGCAAAAAAGAAGTGCAGAGATTAATAGGAAGGATAGCAGCCCTGAGGAGTTTTATATCAAAATCGTCAGAAAAGAGTTTTAAATTCTTTTCAGTATTGAGAAAACAGAATCAGTTTGAATGGACTGATGAACGCCAACAAGCGCTCAAGGACCTAAAATCGTATCTGTCAAATCCTCCTTTGCTAGCTAAACCAAAAGACAGTGAAAGGCTTCTCATTTATCTCGTTGTGTCAGAAGTGGCGGTAAGTGCGGTGTTGGTCCGAGAAGATAAAGGTAAACAATCCCCAATTTATTATGTTAGTAAGTCTTTGCTAGATGCTGAGACATGATACCCCCATTTGGAAAACCATGCTTTAGCGTTAATTATGGCATCTAGGAATTTAAGACCTTATTTCCATTGTCATCTTATTTCTGTAATAACTGCTTTCCCCCCTGAGGAATATACTGCATAAACATGAGCTATCTGGTAGATTAGCTAAATGGGCAATAGAACTCAGCGAGTATGATATCATATATCAGCCCAGAACTGCAATAAAATTGCATGTTTTAGCAGATTTTAGCACGAATTTACTTCCTGAAGCAGAAAAGGAACTACAGGTATTTGCCGGAGCTAATCTGGGGACTTGGACTCTATTTACCGATGGTTCTTCAAACGTTAAAGGAGCGGGTTTAGGAATTGTTCTAATTTCACCTTCCGGGGAAGTCATAAGACAAGCAATAAAATGTTATCCAATCACTAACAATGAGGCAAAATACGAAGCTGTGATTTGGAACTGGCGCTAGAACTTGATATAGAGCAGATTGTGATCAAAAGTGACTCGCAGTTGGTGGTTAACCAGATGCAGGGGACATACGTGGCAAGAGAAACACGAATGCAACAATACGTGAAAAAGGTACGGGAATTGCTTTGACAATTTCAGTCGCGGAAGGCCATGCAGAGACCCAAGGAAGAGAATGCAGAAGCAGATGCGTTGACAAATCTCGCGTCTGTCACGGATGTAACAAATGCAGAAAATGCTATCGTGATACATTTGTTTCATTCAGCACTTGACCAATATAAGAGTGAGGTAAACTTTAATAATCTAACTTGGGATTGGAGAAACGAATTTGTGAACTTTTTGCAGTATGGTATCTTACCTGAGGACAAGAAGAAGTCACAATTGCTTCGTTAAAAAGCTGTTTGGTATTGCTTAATTCGTGAAAATTTATATCGTAGCACGGTGCATCGGTCCATCACAAACGGAGTATGTGATGAAAGAAGTACATGAGGAACACTGAGGCAATCACGCCGGGGTAAGATCATTAGTAAGGTCATTAATAAGAGCAAGATATTATTGGCCAAAAATGGAAGAAGAAGCAGAAAACTTTGTAGCAAGGTGCGATAAATGTCAACGATATGTCAATAACATGCACCGCCCAGCAGATCTGTTGCATTCAGTTATTTCACAATGGCCCTTCATGAAATGAGGCATGGACATTGTAGGGCCGCTGCCTCATGCTAAAGGAAATGTACAGTTTCTATAAGTCTTAACAAATTATTTTTCAAAATGGGTAGAAATAAGTGCTTTCAAACAGGTGAGGAAAAAAAAGTCAGGGACTTTATT